AAACCAAGTCATGTTTTCCATGATATTTATTACCTCCAAGCAGATACAATTTTCACTGCCCAAAAAAAGTACAACAGGGCTTGGGAAATAAGTGCTGATTTGCCTGGGTGCTAAAGAATCACCAATAATTTTGATTAATGTGTCTTGACACTGAATGCATCAGCCATACAAGATTTGTCTTGCTTAAAGGCTAATTAGAATTCAAGTCAGCATGATACCTGTTTCTGAGGATTATAGCAAGAACATTTGTTGTAATAAGAACCTCTAGGCAGCTAGTTTTTGTAATGATTGATTTGTAAAATTATTGAGGGGGAAAAAAAGAATGAGAAAGTAGAGTCTGTCTAAAAAACACTGTTTCCTTTAAGGATAAAACTTGAGTATAAACTAAAACATCTCGGTGATATGATGAAAATGAACTACAATAGCAGGTTTATTTAAAACTCAGAAAATATACCTTTCAGCTTTTTTTTAAAAAAACAGATTACATCATGAAAGCACATTCAGTATGTTTATTGGAGATTTTGTGATGGCTGCTAAAAATCTCTGATTTCTGGTTGTATGAGTTTCCTAATTGGATTCTAAAATTACTCAATTGCTCACAGTTTGTACAAGCAGGAAATAATTACAAGTAACAATAACACATCTTATCCTCTCGAACAGTATTTCTTCCTTTTCTTTTTTTCTTTTAGGAATGCATTTCATATCCTATGTTACTTCCAGAAACGTTCCTCTGCTATTTTTAAAATGAAATTTGATGTTTCTGAAGAAGGAACCTCATCTCTAGTGGATTTAGATGGTAAATTTCTATTAGATTATTGGACATGGTAATTAATCCTAAGAATGCCAAAGTAAATGTTCCTGCCACCTATAATATTTAGTCTTTATATGATTTAGTGTCAAGGATGATTTCATATAATGAGGTATAAAGAATTAGTTACTGTCTCATACTCTCCCAATCCTCAAATTCTTAATCTGAATGTCAAATTTTCTCTAATGTGGAAGCCAGAACAAAAATATCGAGCTTGAGAGAAAATAGTGTAAAATTTTTTTTGCCATCTAAATGATTTTTTTTTCAATTGATGTAATTTTTACTGTATTATATTTCCCTACTCTATTAAGTTTATTGCATTATGTAAACTTTTCCCAATTACTTTCTGAATATGATGAGATAAGCTGGTGGTCTATGTGGAAAGGAGAAAAGCAGACACGGAAAATCCATATTTGTAGAAAATGTCTTGGTCCAGGCAACACTATGCCTGGGGCCTAGAGAATTTCCTACATGATGTGTCCAGTTTTTCTTGCCAACAGTGTAGGAAGGAGAATTTTGACAGTACCAGGTCTTATGCCCAGAATGTTGTGTTCTCTCATCCTTTATTCCCAGGATATATTTGAGTTATAGGAAAAGGGAAATAGTGTGATGTTTGAAGAGAAAGTAGGTTATCTTACTGCTCTTAAAGGTAATATTCATCCTTCACTGCAAAGGAGTTTTCAGAATTTATGTCTATTAACCTATAGAATGCAAATGGCTTTATGTTCTCCAGGTTAAAATTATTCACATTAAGAAAGACTATATTGAATAGGTGCATAACCAATGTTTCCAATATTCTGAACTCTAAGAGAAAGAAAGTAATAGCTAAAATTTATACAGGATTTACTATATGCTTGGCAACATTTTAGAAGCTGCACACATATTAACTAGTTTAATTTATGCAATAATTCTACGAGGTATGTACAACAATGATTTTGTAAGGAAACCAGAGGACAGGAAGATTATTGTCACTTTCCCAATGTCATGATACAGCTTCTTAACTGGGGGGTAGAACTGGGACCCGTACACTGGTGGTCTGGTTCTAAAGTCAGGGGTCTTGAACACTGCTCTATACTTCTTCATTATTAGGGTAATATAATCATAAAAGGGGTAAGTAATGTATTTATATTTTTCAAAATAAGTGTGGAGAGAAAAATATTTTAAAAATGGGAACTTCAAATCTTACCCTTTTAGGTGATATCAGAAAAGCTAGTTATAATAAGTTTTACCCATGAAAAACATATTAGAAGGCTTGTTTATAAAAATCATTTTCTGAGCTCAAATCTTATTTCAGAAGATCAATGTCTGCATGGTACATTGTGCATAATTTAATTTTCCCAGTTGAACATCTTGACACTATATGAACCATGAATGCATGAAATAGGAATTCCAAATGTCTTCCACATGGTGAGAGAACTTTCCAATACTTGTGCAGGAAGCCTAAGAGTAGTTTGAAATTAAGATATGGCTGTTCTTGGTGACTTTTATTATGTATGCCCAAGGTATTAGCACTTGTCTCTGAGTGGGACTCTGAGGTGATAGATAGATGAGTCTGCGGTCTGTATTTAGGCACTTTGCTCATTTCCTGAGAGCTGTGTGGAAGGCATTTGGGTGCTCATTAAGTTCCCCACCATTCTCCGAGAGCAACAGGTGGTGAATCAAAGCTTCTCTGGTATTTCATGGCTGGTTTCCCCAATGTCTTGGAAATAACGGATGGCATTTGCATGCTGTCTATAGTACCAGCAGATAAGAAGGGGATGGATAGCAACAGGAAGAAGTATTTCCAAAGCATAAACTAACACACAAATTCTTGCTACCACACATTCTAAATTCATACGTGTGGTTTCCTCTTTTAAATATTGTTACTGGTTCAAACTAGGAAACCATGCTTAACTAGCCTGTGGTTAGCAACCTAGCAGAAGCAAGGTATAGTAAAGGTGTAAAGAACATCTCAAGTTAATGAAGCTATATCGTAAAGTTATAAATTCATAACTCTACATTTCTAAACATCCATGACAACTAATGACTATGTGTTCTTAAATTGTCTCCTTCACAACATGACTTCTTTATACTGACTACCCACTACCTACATTATAAAGAAAGAATATTGCCCACATCCTGAACTAGAGCGATAAGTCAAAGCTAATTAAACCAAAACCAGAATCTGTGATTTAAATCAAATAGTGGGTAGTTCCCCAGCAGTACTTGATAATTCAAGAGAAAAGTGTCTTTAGTGGATGATAAAAAGGTTTTATCAATTGGTAACTAGTCAGGCTTTACAAACAAAGGAACATAGCTATATGATCTCACCAACATACATCTGGCAATGTCCTAGGACCCTAGGAATAAAAGTATTTACTGGAGGTGTCAAATCACCAACACTCTTCCCAATCTGAAAAAGTTCAAAACATTTGGACTAGTTCACATACGACTAGGGAAATGCCATGTGATATTTTTCATGGTGGAAGACATAAAATGAGTAAGAGGTAACGATAACAAATAGTGGTAATGAAATTGTTTTCTGATTGTTTCGGGGGGAAGGGTAAAACTGGGGTAAAACCCCAGTACCTTTACCCTTACATACTCTTTTCTCACCAAGATTTGCCTCATACTCAGCAGAAGGGACAGCTGGATTTCAGTGCAGCACTGAGGTTCCTGCCACACGAGCTGACATTGAGAGCACAGCCCTGCTAACCTATGAGCCAGTCCTGCAGATAACACTGCCCCAGCCCTTCCCAAATGCCCTTCCTTTCCAGTGACTTCCCTCTTATTTATAACGCAACCAGGTTCTTTTAAAGTAATATTGAATATAATTTTCTTACATTTGCTTAAAAATCTATGATCTTCTAATCATTTCTTAAAAGCTTCTTTTTTTTAATGCATAGGAATTACTAAGGAACTGCCACAGTTCCTTCAATAAAATGAAGTTATTTTGCTAAATATCAAATGATAAGGAAATGACTTTGACCCTTTAGTAAACTGTTGTCATAGGGTATACTTTTTCACTGAGGAAGCCAAAGACAAAATATGTTAAAAGGAATATCTGAATGTCTATGATACTAATCTGGAAACATCAAAAAAAAAAAAAAAAAAAAAACCACTCCAGAAATTTCTGTGTGCTAATCTGAAAGACACAGTTTTCAAGTCTGTTACTTATACCAAATATACTCATAAAATATATGTGATACCATATGATGTCTGGGAACTCAATAATTTAACATAGCCATATTATTTCATCAAACACAACCTTCATCAAACAGTACACATGACTCCCACACTGAAATTAGGATTACTAATTTCAGAATGGTCTGATGCACACTAAAGATTGATTCAAAATCTATGAGAACAATGTACGGAAAAATCTTACTTGCATGATGTTACTCTATCAAATGCATCTAGAATTTTAAAAAAATACCTAAAACTTTTAAGCTTTGTTTATTTTTTATTATGATTTTGATTATGATTATGATTATTTTACTTTTAAGCTGTAAAAATATCTTAAAGGAATAACTACTGCTAAGGCAGCAGAACTTTAAGCCTTGCCAGTTGCCATGTGAAAAATTTTAAATAATTTTTAAAAATGTATGTTTCATAACATTTTAGGTAGTTTTAAAACATGTAAAACAATGGTTTCAAATTAAGCTTTAAGCAATTATTTCAAAAGATACATACAAAGTTCATGGAAATAGTATATGGGTCGGAATAGTTTAGTAATCAGATTTGTACTTTGCAGTGGGAGTTATTGACAGGAATTGGAAGCAAAAAACACAATAAAACGATTATTATAATGAATGAATTACAAAAACAGCTGCCTCCATGTTCAATTTATAGGGATGATAAGACTCTGATTTTAGTCAAAATCTGATAGGACGTTAAGAATAAAATTAAAATATGAAAGTAGACTTCCTAGACTTTAAAGACTTCCTATTGGCACTTAAATTTTTTCAAGGGGCGTAGTAGGTTAAGTAGTAGAATATATAGTCCAGATATGTTTGCCACATGTCCAGCAATGGCAAATATTACCAATACCTGTGTCTAGTTCTCAATTTAAAAAATTTAATTGAGATGGCTGGAGAGTGTTTAAAGAGAGGCATTATATTTTTAGTTTTCTTTTTTTTCCTATTTTCCTTTGAGTTTTGTGACTTTCATAATTACATTTCTATGAAGCTGAGACTGTCAGTGCTGTATTTACCTTTATCCCCGGAAGTCCAGGAAGCCCAGGAAGCCCTGGTTCACCCTACATAGGAAAATCACATAGCATTATAGAACAGTAGTCACTCAGTCACAGTATGTGGAGAAAAACATGGCAAATGTTCCTAGCTGAATACTTGCTGCATATAAATACATACATAAATGCTGTCTAGTTTCAAGGACTTTGGTGACATTATACAGTTCAGTCAACTCTTGATTCAGGGATTGGTTGACCATTTTGTAGATTTTTCAGGATTTTTCTCTCTTCCTGTCATCTCACTGCTCATTGGCATTTCTGCCAGAAGGCAAGCAAGAGAAGAAGTAGAAGGAAAAGGCACTCCTACGTTTTATTATTCTCTGGTAAATGATTTCTTGTGGAAGCTGAGGTTCTTTGCTGAAATGAGGATTTTGTATGCATTTGAATAATGCATCCTATTCCAGGGCTCTCTTACCTCAGATAATCAAGAGTTGGCTGTGTGAACAGATGGTCACATCAAAACAATATACATTAAGTCTTGCTCACTTAAAAGTATAGTAAGATTTCTTTTCCATTCCTGAATGATGAGAAGATAAATGCATGGTTAAGATTCTACTTAACTCCAGCCTGTATCTCTGACCGTTGTTGAGTCTGGGTAACTCTGCTTAGCAATTTCGGGCTAATGGTACCGTGTGTGCAGCTGTTCCTGAATACAGGTTTGAGATTAAGTGGTACATTTTGTATGAGCACACTGGAGTCAAGCTAATTCTCATTTTCACAGAATTGTCTACATTATTTTAAGTACAAAGTACAGTGACAAAAGGTTACATTGCTTAGAAAATCTCCTGAATTCCATTAAAGAAGCATAAAGAAATCACTGGGGAAACTGAAAGTCTATCCTGTATTGGACTGAGGTGACTATTCGCAGAAACAACATTTGAGGGTAAAAGGCACACACTGTTTCATAATGGTCAGTCAGTGGGACAGACAAGTATATTCAAAGAGATTGGAGCATCAAACTAAGTAAAAGTGTTAAAGGGAGGTACTGCTTTTAATCTAAATGCTTTAACAATCCCCATTCCATGGAAAATCTAAGAACAACCAGATATTTCATCTTTAACAGTAGTACTTTCATATTATGAAGAGTCACGATGTGCTCTGGTATTGTATTTAAAAAAATGACTCCACATAACTTATTAAACTGTATGGTTAGACATAGAGGGGAAACTGACTTTCCTGATGGTTTAGGCCATAGGGGCTTCAGGAATGCAAAAGAAAAACTATGCTGTTTGTAACTATATAACTGAAATTTTGCACTGTGAACAGTAAGACTAAGATGAGGTTAAGTCAGAAAAGAATGATCATTAAGAATTTGATATTCTATTCAGAGAATACTTGTCTAAGTAGATTAAACTTTACACAGAAACATTATACATTAGACTTTCTTTTTTCTTTCCCTTTTGCCCTTCAAACAACAAATTTAAGAAGATCTAGTAAATAAGGCTTGCATCCATATTTTACTGAAGATTCTCTTTTACCTTAAAAAATGTACAAGCCCTTGAATATACAATAAACTGCAGTAGAATATACAACCAATAAAAGTAAACACATTGGTGATAAATTGATAGTTTTATATCGCTTTAGAAAAGTCTCCTCAAAGTCAAGACATCCTATTTGAAACATGTGTGAAAATATATAGGTCAAATCACTGTTTCCATACAGGAGAAATGTCCTACACACACACTTCCCTCCCACCATATTAAAAAGAGTCTATGACTAATTAAAAAAAGATTTTTATAGGGGCGCCTGGGTGGCTCAGTCAGTTAAGCATCCGACTTCGGCACAGGTCATGATCTCATGGTTCATGGGTTCGAGTCCCGTGTCGGGCCCTGTGCTGACCGCTCAGAGCCTGGAGCCTGCTTCAGATTCTGTGTCTCCCTCTCTCTGACTCTCTCCTGCTCACGTTGTCTCTCTCTCAGAAATAAAACATTAAAAAAAAGATTTTCATATACATATGCATACACAGACACACACCTATGCTTTCTAACACTGAGAAATGTCTATAAGACATTATGGAGTATTTTATAATGTAGATTGAATACTTACAGAGACTTTGAGCATTTAGCTGTTCCCTGCATCACATGTGTATGTACGTATATATTTATATTAGAATATTAAATGGGTTTTTTAAAGTACAGATATTTCAAGAATTCATATTTCATAGTACTGGATTTTTATAAATTTGACCTTTCCAAATTTACGTTTATTCAATGTAGTAGTCAACATAATGAAAGATTATAAAATATTTTATGTTACCCTTTGTGGAACATCTCAACATTTTTTAGGAAGACTTCTCTTCCTATACAAGTTCCATAAAGGCTTGTCTTTCAGTTAAGACAATTTTTTGTTAACTTCATGCTTGCCTATTTCTTAGCTCGGGAGCTTCTCTGGAGTGAGATCTTAGGCATGCATGGCCCTAGGTCAGATGTGGGTCATAATTAAGAATTGGTTTATTCTTCCATTTGAAAAATACTTGTCCAAATAGACTAAATTTTACACATTATCTTTTGGGTTCTTTTTTTTTTCCTTCCCTTTGACTCTTTACCTCCCATTAAAGGAGACCTTTATCTGCTGTCAAATTCTGGACTCTGCTTTTGCCCCACATTTCTGTTGCAGTGTCCTCTACTTCTAGATATATTTTAACTGGGAGGGTCCCTTCCAATGGGGAATCAAGTATTTTTATCCCTTTAAAGTTAAAACATATAAAGAGATGTAGAGAAGGTAGAAAAGTAAAAACTATGTGATGGCACACAATACCTATTTTTATAAATCTACACATTCACTTTAGAAATATAAATACACACGCTAACTCATCTGTCAATCACACATTTTACTGCTGAATCTATAAAAGAAAAAAAAACTATAATGAAACCATTTCTACATTATGAATGTTGGTCTAAAAAACAAATTTACGTACTGGACAACGGCAAATAGTGGAAAGCTAACCAATGGGCTTTTCATTCTGTCTTGAAACTCTACGTCTCTGGGAACGTCCCTAACGCAGGAGGTTAAGTGCTGAATCCACAACACGGTTCTGCAATGATCAGGGACATGCTTTAGAAGTTCCCTTGAATTGGTTCTGTGCTGAGTTCTGTTTGTCATTTTCTAATCTAAGTAAGCAGCAAACATGGGAATATTCTACTTTTAAAGCAATGTTGCGGTAAGTATTGCCAAATCCTGATATTAGACAAAGGAAGTCATAAATATTGTGGGCAAGTGAGATTGCGTCAAAGGATAGGATCTGGCCTAAATATTGATGAAAAAGATGCTGTGCCTTTCAGGGCACATACTCATCCAAAAGGTTGTAAGTTTTTAATGAATCCACCCCTTCTCCCGATATAATTTAAAGCAGATTTTTAATGAAATACAAAGGAAATCCAATGTTTCCATATGTAAACCTATAAACTTCCAGGAATGAATCTAAACTGTATTTCTAAATAATCATGAGAGGGCCATATTTTACTAAAAAAATTGAAAATCATTTTGGATCTCCCACTCTGAAAACAGTGAAACCTATACAAGTTTATAGCAGATTTGTTTCATTTTGTTTTGTTAAAAAGGCATAACAGTCTTGTAGGCATTTCTTTTAGTATATCAGATTTAGAGAGCAGTTTAAACGTAACCTTTAATTTTGAAATACTAAGGAGTCTAAAATTAGATCATCTAATTTACAAATGATTTTTTAAAAATCATATATGTATCCATAGGTTGGTTAAAGTACTTGGCTAGTGTCTCCAATTAAAATTTAGTTTATTAACAAATCTGGTTTGTATAGATCATCTGAGAAGATTATTTGCTTTTTCAAACCAAAGGGGACCATGACTCTCTGATGATATAACTAATTTCAAATTTCTTACATAAAGAATCAGTAAGAAATCTTAGGAATCAAATATAAAAATTCACAGAGTTCTGCTGGGTTCTTCGGAAAAGCCTGAACTTTACCTGAAACTGGGCCTGATGAATCATTACTCCTGGAGCCTGAGTTTCAAAGAAAACTCTATTTTTAAAAATTTTAAAAGAACATGAAAGACTTTCTCAAAAATCACTAAGTCTCTAAAACAAGCAATGATCTTCTCAATGACTTCAAGAGTGTGGGAACATTATTGTTTTCATGTCTTAAGTTTCCAGACTCCTATAATGAGATTTATTCTCTGTTTTCCTTTATATCAATGAGGTAAATTCTATGACTCTAACCACATTTTTTCTACAACATCAGCTATTGCTAGATAAAGGCAGTCATGATCTTAAGAGCTTTGACCTAATGTGGAATTCACATTTACTTGTTAGCTACAATACATCTGTTATCTAAAATCTAACCACATTGGACACTGATATCCAGATGCTCAGACAATAAACTGCTAACAGTTGTTTCCTGCCTCAGAGTCAAATGAGAATATGAATCTAAACATAATCACTGCATATTCTCTAATTGATCACTGAAGTGAAGCACAAATGATTTTTAAAAGATCATGTATGTATCCACAGATTGGTTAAAGTACTTGGCTAGTGTCTCCAATTAAAATTTAGTTTATTAACAAATCTGGTTCGTATAACATAACATTTGTTGCATAGGTAGATATGATTCACATAAAAAATTATCAGTAAGGAAGTATTTGAAATAAAAAGAAAAGGGATATAAGAAACTATCATTCCCTACTGAAACAGTTTAGTAAATATTCATTTCTTCTCATGAATGATAGAAACATGCAGAGTATCTTTAAACATGCAAGATAAGTTGTTGGCATTCCAACCCAACCGATCTTTGTTAGTCTCAAACAGCTAAGTATAGGCAGACTTTAGTTAATAAAGCATCTTTCTACATGTACACAGTGTTTCATATTTTGCTATGGTCAGCATCAGTCTTTTTAAAATGCAGAATAATCAATAGCACTCTGCATGCAAAGCATGAAAACTGCATCATTTTGCAATAATTACTTTCATATTACACAGTGGACAGTAGATATAAAATGGCAAATATGTGACAGTACAAAGAACAACACTAGAATAAAGATGTTACCTTTTGCCCTGGACGACCAGATTCTCCAGGCTCCCCCTGACCAAAGAAAGCCAAAGATGAACGAACAAACAAACAAACAAACAGTCTTATAAGAATTTTCCAAAATGCTTAGGCCTCTGGACACTTTCACAGAGATGGTCTAACCTTCTTGATCATATGCATTTCATTCACTTTATTCTATTACTCTACATTTCAATAGAGACAGAACTTTTTTCTTGGTGTGGACATACCTAAATCTCACCTACAAATCCACATTTCCATAAAAACCATTCACAGAGAGAAGTGAAGGCAATACCTCTTATTTAAGCCTTTATCAGAATTCTAGCAGATATTCCCTGTTGTGTTTGGAAGCTAATTATTGCAGAAGAATAGAAACAGTTATAACCATCAAAATTGGTACTAAAGAAGAGTGAGCAGAGGCTTATAAAATTAAAACTGTAACTCCTGGGGTATAAACACTCACAAGGCTATAGTTACCTTAATTCCTGCTGCAGATGATCCAGGGTCACCCTAAAACAAAACCAATGGGAGATTATTCCACAGGATATGAGAATAGGAAACATATAAACACATGGAGAGCCAATTTCAACATGGCACTCCAAAGGAGCCCCATATCTAATGGGCCTGACTATGCTCCATAAAACTATATCAACTTGTCAGCTGTTAAGATGTCAACAATTTCCAAGGTAAACAATGCACTTTCTAAAAACATGAGCTTATTTTGAATGCAAAATACTCAAGGACTATATTCTTTGAAGTAAATATAAATATTCAAATAGGTATGTCTTCCCTTGATATAGTGTTAAAAGTGTATTCTAAAGTAATAAATTGTAATTTGGAGACCTGGAACTTTGGTTTTCTCTATTTCTGGAATTTATTAATGTCACGGGCTATCAGTTACTGGGAGTTCCTTGACCCTCTCAGTCTTCAGAAAGTCCAGGGTTCAAGAGATGAAGTCAAAGGGTTAATGATGTTGAGCTGGAGAAAGCCACGTAGCAGGTCAGTTGGTTTTCCTCATGGAGCACTGTCACAGTTATGACCGGCACATTTTCTCTAGCTTTACATTTATTTCATTGTGATGCAGTCACCAGAAAATTACAGGATGATGGATGACTCATGGGTGGCAGGGACACATGTACGATCTAAGAGAAAATCTTGAGAGAGAATCTGGTTTTCTAAAAGGCAATGTATTCCACAGGGAATTCACAGAGGGTGACTACATTTTCAAAGCACATATGCTATAAAATAAGCAGAGAGAGATTAGTAGAAAAGAATAGGGAGGTTAGTTAAGAATGTTGTTGATTTCTGAAATGAAGCCAACAAAGGGCCTAGATTTTCAAGCTCCTTCCAGCCCTTTGTCTCATGAACATGCTACAAGGCAAAACAGGGAGAAAACTTAGCTATTTGAGACTTTCAAGAAGATAAGAACAGGCATAAGGAGGAAGGCACATCCTGGGATTTCCTCAGCTGTCACATCTATGCAACTGCTCAAGGAACTCCAGGGGTCTAGTTCCTTGTTCTGGGTTTAGGAACCCCCCTCATTTGTCTCTTTTAGAGACAGAGATGAGGCCTCAGGCCTCTGTGCATGGAGCACTTGTCCCCTTCTCTCAATTCCTTCCCCCTCATCCCCAGGCTGACATCTTCTCTCTCTTGAGGTCTTGGCTTAAGTGGCTTTGCCTCAAAGAACCCTTCTCCAACCAACTTAAGACGCATGTCCCTTACATACACATTTGACTGTTCAGCACTGAGCTCTGTTCGTGTCCTACATAGCTCACTTCATAATTACACATTTATTTATTTACTGTCTGTCCCTTCATTAGACAATCAGCCACATGGGGGCAGATTTAGTATCGATTTTTATTCAGTGCCTAGCCCATAGTAGATGCTCAATACATATATGGCAAATAAATGAGCAAATTCAAAAAGAATGTTTTAAATAACTCAGCAGTCAAGAATCAAAATGAAAAAGTGGTGCCTGGGTGGTTCAATAGGTTGAGTGTCCAACTCTTGATTTTGGCTCAGGTCACAATCTCATGGTTTGTGAGATTGAGCCCCATGTGGGGCCCTGTGTTGACAGTGTAGAGCCTGCTTGGGATTCTCTCTCTCCGTCTCTCTCTGCCCCTCCCTTGCTTATGCTCTCTCTTGCTCTCTCAAAATAAATAAGTTAACTTAAAAAATGAAGAAAAATTAGGAAGGAAAAAATACTTGGGAAGGATAAGGAAATAATAAATTAGCTTACTGAGGAAATTGATATATATGTGAGCCTCTGTGATGTCTGTAATTGTTAAAACCCAAGGAAAAACTAAATCATGACAAAACTTAAGAAAAGGACTTTACATACTGTTTTATACTGATTTCTCTTTCTAATCATTAACATTCAGTTGAGTTCCAAGTGGGAAGTGAAATAAATGTGGCTAATAAAATAAAACTTATTTCTATTACTATTAAATCAAATCTGAAAGCCTTCAACACCAATGAATCAGGTTTGTAATATTTTGCACAATAAGACCTTTGTGTTCCTAAAAACAATTTTGACTTTGCTGAGCCTCTTCCCTCATCTCATTTATATCTCATAAAACTCTGATGAGATAGAGCAGATATTACTATTTTCATTTAATAGACAAGGACATTGAAGCAATGAGAGGATAAGTGAATTTTGGACTTCCTAAATTCCATTGCCATGTTCTTTTTATTAGAATAAGAATTATTGGTTTATTTCATTTTGACAACAGGGCATAAAGGTTCCAGTAAACTTGTAAATAAAAGGAAGTTGCTTATATTAACTGTAGTTTAAAACCTTTTATTTTTAGTGTCTTAATGGAAAGTGGCTGGATAATCCACAAATGAGAATAAGGAACAGATTTAGTTCTCATAGAAAGTAGATGGAAAGAAAAGGACAGTTTCCTGAAAGGCTGATTTATTTGTGGAAATTGGAGCAGTTTCATTTGATGGAGGACTATGAGTGATATTTTAATTCTCTTTTAAAAAACTTAGACTGTGAAATCTCGAGGAATTTTTTAAACTTTTAAGTGGCAAGACAACTGCTGAAAGACAGTCATAAGTTAAACATTTTAAAGGAGAGTGCTGCAAGGAGTAGAAATAAAACAGTCAGTGTTCATAATCCTCATTCCTGAAAAAGTGAAAGCGAACCCAGGACTAAAGTATGAAAAACCCAACTATGTCTTAAATAGACGCTTAGCTTCATAAGTCAGCTGGTCTGGAAACCCAAGTTTCACCAGGGTAAGTAAGTCACAAATGGGAGGATACTTTGAGAAGACACTTGAGATAAACAGACGGGGCTTTACCACTGATCATTCAAACACAGAGGGCTTCTGGTTTTGGTCATGCTAATGTTCAAATACAATAGCTGGTATATAATTTTATGCACGTGTTAATAAAGTCTATGTGGATACATGAAGTGAATATGGTGACATTTCTATCCTTCATTAATTCAGTCAATGAATGTTTGTTGAGTCCCCATTGTGTGCCAGCCTGTTCTGTTCGCAGGGATGCTATAGGAGCTGGGTGAGAACAGGAAGCAGTGCAGTTACAATCCGTGCCCTTGCCCTGTGCTCAGGCCCATCACATACCGATCTATGTACCCGAAAATATTATTGGTTGAAAGCATGAAAAATACTTTCCATTTCTTTTCTTTAAAAAAAAAACCCGGGGTTGGAAGAGACTCTCATGTTTGGGATATTCTATGTTCCTGTATATGCCAGACGACATGATGAACAAATGCCTGTCACAGGAAAACGGTCTACCATTCCATGAAAATAAAAAACAGTTGAAAGGGAAAAAGTGTTTTAAAGGTTGTTTATTCAATAAATATTTAGTATCTTCCAACTCTGTGCCAGGAACATGGATTGATGCTGGGAATAATTTGGCATCATACAGTTTTTTGTTTATTTATTTGTTTTTCTTCTCCAATGAGCCAAATGTCCAATTAAACAAGGAATTATAATAAATCTCAATAATGGTTATGAAAGGTACTTTAAAGAGTGCTATGGGAGCACAGAGTAGGTAACCTAACCAGTGTGGAGGAGACTGAAAGGCTGCCCTAGGGAAGTGACTTATAAACTAAGGTCTCAGTGGACTGAAGAATAGAAGGTGGACAGACAATAAGAGTGTTGTAAGGTGAGAGAACCATTACGTGCCAAGTCAGAGAGGGCCCTGCATTGACTAGAGGTGGTGCGGTGTGGGGGCGAGGGGGGGTGGGGGCCTTCTGAAACAGGCCTTCACATGTGATTTTAAGAAAAGAGAATTTGATTCGAAGCTCCAAATATGGGTGTGGCTTCTAAAAAGGCTCAGAGGATGAGAATGCGCTGTGGGCATAAACTAAGAAGGCAGTGCGTGTACAGGAATGGAGACTGAGGGAGCAGTGAAAATGAAGGCGCAGACAGGCTGTAGCAAGACAGTGAAGGTGGAGCTTCTGAATCTGCAGACTGAATTGTGAATAATAGAGTGGCACGGCCAAACCATTCAGTGCGCTGCACAAATACCTGCTTTCAAGTTGACCAAAAGAGATAACAAGTCCATTTCTGCATTTGTTGGGTGGGATTAACACTCCAAAGAGCAGAACGTAACCTCTGCATAGTAACTCCACACATGATTGAAATCATTCTTTGGAATGTCACTCACAAGGCCTAGAGTGCACGGCAGTTGCTGGCCACGGACAAAACCCAGCCTAGTGGTTTTTATAGTTCCACAGCATTTCCAGATGACCAGTCTGGAATGATTTAGATTGCTTTACCATCCAAAGGCACTGAGATGGATCAAAAGGAAAAAAAATCCTATTAAAGTGAATCAGTCAATGACGTAATTTACTATATCAATGGCAGAAAAAAGCATTTTTTGATTTTGTATCTCAAACTTGGTACATGATGAATGAGCTTCACATATTGAACCCAAAGGCCATGAGAAGAGTGTTTCCAACATACTGGAAACAAATTATATGACAGAAGCAGGAAATGTTTAAAAAAACACATCAAAAATTATATTTCAATTACAGCATTCTCGGCATGAATGCTACAGGTCAGATTACAATTTATACATTACAGATTCCTATTTACAATCCCCTGTTTAGACCTACTGAAAGTTTATAGAAATGATTTCCGTTTTAACTGAAGGATTTCTTGTACTTAATTTCAGTTGACTAATAAAACTTTTTGATAAAAAGAAAACAACCAATCTAGTTGATTTCAATTTCCATGTGGTAAGAAAGCTAACATTTATTGAGAGTTTACTATGTGTGAGTCAATATGGTAAATGATTTGCATTAATATAAAACAGTATTCCTTTGAGATGAACTTGGAATTTTCAAAGAAAAGGGCTACTTTACTATCGGAAAATTAAATGTTAAAAATGTGTGATTAAAGAAACAATTATTGATCTACATTACAAAAGTGAAGCTTTAAAAATACAACTTCTAAGAGCATAACATTCTCTACATGAATCCACATAGGTATTGTTCAGACTTGGCATAAACTTTTTTCACTTGAAAAAAACCTGCTTTCTGTTTAGAAGATTTCCTTTCTTTAAGCAGAGGCTGGTAACTAAGGCCTGTGGGCCAGCTCCTGTTTTTGTGTGGCCCATGTGCTAAGAATGTTTTCTACATTTTTACATGGTTAAGAAAAAATGAGAAGAACAATATTTCATGACACATGAAAATTACATGAAATTAAAATTTCAATGTCCAGAAATAAAGTTTTATGGGAACACAGCCACACTCATTGGTGTACATACTGTTTATGCTTGCTGTCACACTGTAAGAACAGAGTTGAGTAGTTGTGACAGAGACCACAAGGCCCAGAAAGCCTAAAATATTTATTTTCAGGCCCTTTACAGGAAAGGCTTGCTGACCTCTGGTTTTAAGTATAAACAAAAAAGTTAAATAGAACATCCAGGTTTATATTTCTGGGGGTTGAAATTCTGACTTTGAGAGTCATCAAGGTATATCATTGGTCTTATTAAGTATTAAACATATTCATGCCATATTTGATTGCAGCATGATAATTAAATTTGACAGATATATACAATGGGTCTATAGCAGTGCTTCTCAACTAGAAATGATTTTGTCCCCCAGGGGACATTTGGCAATGTCTAGAGACAGATTTGGTTGTCACAACTACTGGTATCTAGTGGGCACAGGCCAGGAATGCTGTTAAATATCTAACGCCTCCGAGAAAGAATTATCTAGCCCAATATGTCAATGAGGCTGAAGCTGGGAAACCTTGGTCTACAAGAAGCCAAGGGTCCACTCGAATTTCTGGACTGCTCCTCGAATACAAATATAATTGCTACTTGGTGACATTAATTCATTCCTACCATCATCCAGGCCATATTTATATTAATATTTATAAGAATGAGAAAGATAAATTTCCCTTTATTTTATGAGTATGCTTTTATGACTAACCATTATCCATCTGTACTGTAATAATTTTCAAAGTGAAATATTTTTATTCTCAACTGTGAACCTCAATGAATAAATCTTTTTTATCATTCAATTGTTTAGCTTGATTTTAATTAAAATCCGATTATTTTCAGTTTATTAAAAGATCTTTTCTTAATTCTTAACATACAGCACAAGTGAAGTAAAATGCCCCTCTTATGTCAGAGATGTCTATAAAGTATGAACGCAAGCAATGGCTATCATGATAGATGGGGAGAGGGGTATGAGAAGAGGTTGAAAGATGAACCAGACGACCATTGTAATATAAATGCTAATAATGGTTTAAAAGATGAAAAAAAAGAATGCAAAGCCTGGCAAAATATCTGAATTTAGTAGATTTCAAGTTGAGGCAAATTTTCAAGGCTGCATAATCAAGTAACATTTACTTTCAAACTTTTAAATCTCATCTCAATCCTGTGACATCTTGTCTCTAACCAAATTGGAACAAATGGAATCACGTTAGAAACTTTATTTTTATATCTCTGAGTATCAAGAGAGTGCCTCATTAACATAAATAAATGATTTTCTTCCTTGGAAGCCATATTACTGGAAACCTAGCTACACATTCTCTAGAATTTGTGACATACCATTTTATTTTAAAAATATTTATGGGGTGTCTGGGTGGCTCAGTCGGTTAAACATCCAACTTTGGCTCAGGTCATGATCTCACAGTTCATGGGTTGGATCCCCACTTGACGGGCTCTGTGCTGACAGCTCAGAGCCTGGAAACTGCTTCTGAGTCCATCTCTCCCTCTCTCTCTTTGCCCCTCCCTCACTTGAAGTCTGCGTCTCTCTCTCTCAAACATAAATAAACGTTAAACTTTTTTTAATATTTAAATTTGTATTTAAGAGCTTGTGGAAAGATCACCTTTCTAAATTGGATATTTAAATGCTTTCCAAACTCAGAATTATTTCTCATCTTACCATACTAAGCTACTACCACTCTCTTACCTCTCTCAAAATCTTCTGTTTTCATATACATGGAATAGTATTTCTTGTTCATACACATACCTTTCATATTTCACACACTGTACCTTTTCGCCTGTGTCACCTTTGGGGCCACTCTCTCCAACATCTCCCTAAGGGGGGGAAAGCGATACATGTAAAATATATTGGTGACATCACACACAGGACAGTTCATTATTTTAAGCTTGCTTTCATATGCACTATATATTGAAATCTCTTGTGAATCTTCAACAGAGCTGACACATTTTTACTTGAGCAGCTGCCTGATATCAACTGGTCCACATAAAATTTATTGCAATGAACACAGCTGAACAGCTTTCAGCTCCTCTATGATATCAACAGAAAGCAGTACTTTCTCTGACTTCTAATAGCTTGAAGCACGTACTTAACACATCCTTAACTCTATCTCTTTTCTCCTCTGCTCAGAGCGACCTTTTTCCTGACCATTCCTTCAATATGCCACATGCCTTATCACCTCTGTGTTCTTCCTCCTGCCGTTCTTGCCACCTGGGCCCCTGCCCTCCCTGTTCCCTTCTCTCTGTGTAAATCCTACTCTGCCTTCGAGTTCAGAAGTCAAATCTCCAAAGTTCCAAAATGCATGACACAGCCTTCAAAGCCTGTGGACACAAGATTACTTTATCTGCGCCTATGTGTTCTGCATTTGCGAAATGAATGTTTTACATTTTATTTGAACACTCTCTCTTTTATAATTACAGTAAAATGAATTGGACAGTTATTTTCGAGATTTCCTGTGCTTATTTCCTCATTGACATCTCCTTTCTGCCACAAAGCAATGCATTAGGAAAAAAAAGTCATTCACTCATTATCCATGCTTTGATTCCTTCAATGCTGAATTCTTTAATTTAAGTCTTACAGCATGTTATAGTGGAAACATCATGGACGCTGGCGCCAGAGAGACTGAGCCCAGCTCCAGCACCTACTGGGCAAATAAAATTCTCCCTACATCACGTTTCACATGTGTAATGTAAGGGCAAGAATGCTTTATGGGATTAGGAGAAATAAACAATATGCTGTGTGTAAAGCAACTAGGACAGTATGTGACACACCATGAACTGTTAATGATAGCCGTTAGCAATAACAATGCATTATTGTTCCTAGATTCCATAAGCTGGAATGTCCTTTTGTTTAGCTTCTTATTAGGTCACTTTTCCATCATTTAAAGATTCCCTTTAAATAAGAGGTAAAGTATTGATGACGGTTTCCATGGGAGAGGAAAGAGGTGTGGAGGAGAGAGACTTTTACTTTTTTCTCTCCATTTTCTTCTCGTTTCTCTCCATTTTCTTCTCTTGTTTCAAATAAGTATGAAGCTAACTGCTCAGGCATTTGTCTATGGTGCCAGACACCCCCACACAGGCCCCAGAACCTGAGCTGCTCTATCTGATGAATCCCTGGAACAGTGCTGGCTCTCCTCCTTTTCCCTCCTTAATTTCTACACAAAAGAGTCATCTGATGATTAATTAATTTCAAGTTAATTACAATAAACTGGTTGGATGCCAAATACATGTACTGATAATCTATTATGAGGGACCTTTGATAGAAGGCCTATTAGCATACTTTTGAAAAGATTGCATGGAAACCCCTTTATTAAAAAGCAAAACAGACACAACAAACTTTCTTATTAGGAAGAATGGTTCCTAGTGGTCACGAAATGAAGGGTTTAAGTGGTTTGCTCCCCTTCCACTTAAATAAATGTCTTTTTAATTTTTGTTTTAGAGTTTTATTTTACAAAAAATACAGTTATATTCAAGAAGTTTGCTGGCTCTTTGGATGTACTACTTTGGGGATTAGAGGTGACAGTATTAATTTGTCGGAAAGATCAGATCACTTATGAAGAGCATGATGTATCTTGGTAGCTTCCTACGCAGACAGCACATTTCCCAAACACTATTAAAGTAAATAGCACGAGAACCAGGAGAATTAGCACCACAATATGCACTGAGAGTCTAAAAATAATCGGGATGCCCCCAAAAGTAGTCAGGAAGGACAACTGGAGAAATTTAACATATGGCATTCTCCTCCTTTTGTTTCTTTTTACTATTTTTTTTATAGGAATTCTTTGTGGGGCAATCTCCAGTATATTTGTTGCAGGTAAACATCTGTATCCCCTTAACTTAGTGACCTAACAAGCAGTAGGGAGAGATGTGGATGCTTAGAAAAGTATTGGAGTGGCATTAGCAAGTAGGCAAAACAGAAATTTTGCAGGCCTAGGGATTTTTGAAAACCATTTAAAAGCTTGACATACAATGTTTAAGTTTGCTCCTTTTCTTTCCATTTCTTTAAACCATTTTACCCAAAATTCTGTCCCAACATAAGAACTACACTATTCTCTCCTTCCACTAATTAACAGTTTGACAAGAACAGGGGTTGTTATATCTATCTATATCTATATAGACCTATTGCTATCTGGCCATCCATACTTAAATAAGCTTGGTTTAGTATCTCCTTAGGGAGGAAAAAAAATTATAGGCAGAATCATTCTTACCTTTTCTCCTCGATCTCCAGGTTCTCCCTAAGCAAAAGAGCAAAGATTGAGTGACACATTAAATTCTAAAACACCCAAGTAAACAACACAAAACAAAATGAGATATTGAACATACTGAGTAAATTATATGTGACATTTTCTATTCTGGCAATATAGAATTGTTATATTGAAAACAAATAGTAAGAGGAGTTTCTTCAAGAATTGTACATGGATATCAATATCAAATGTAATCTTAATTCTTTGCTTTTTATTTAAGATTAGTGTCCAGAAGCCAGCATTGGGGGTATTAAGACCAGTGTGGTATCAATTCAATGTCTTGAGTGGCTTCTTAGTTTTCAAGTTTTAATCTACACAAACTCAGAATCAATAAGGTGAGCTAGCGCATCCTTTCATGGTCTTCTATTCAAAAGAGTCCCCAGTATCTGGCTTATTTCAGGGGTCTAGAGTCTGTGTATTTCCCCAATCTATCTTCTGCAAACATGATCATAAACACGGTCTTAAATTTGGACCTCTTCACAGTGTCATGAATTCTCTTTAGCCTGCTGGTAACTAGCAGATTCTAAATCAGGAATATTTTAGGAGGAATTGGTGCCTTCAGGAAAGACACTAGAATGGGACAGAGTTGAAGTACGTTTAGGAGAATGTCTTTATTCAAAATGATTTCCTGGACTGTATGAGGACTAAAATGCCAAATTGTGCTTTGAAAAGAATCCTTACTTTTACTTTATCCAGGAAGGCATAGGTGAGGGAGTGGGAAAATCCCAAAATAAATCATACACATTATGATAATATGCCTCTTAGGAAAAAAGCATTAGTAAATGTTGCCATGAGATAAGACTGCATTAAAAAATAGTGTGATTATTGTGGGTTTTTTTTTTTTTTTTTTTTTAATTTAAGGCCACTCAAAATCAGTTTGGAGGAAAGACTCTTCTCATATTCTGGGACTCAGCCTAACGCTTTGGCTTTCCAAATTACTAGCCACCTTTCCCTGCTCAACATCCAGCCTGATGGTTGCTAGGCAACAGAAGAATAGCACTGAGAACATGCACTAAGCATTAACTCTTCTCATTTGGCTTTTTTAGCAGGGAGCAAGAAAGGGGAGAAGACAGGAGAATGGCTGTAGTCACCGAAGGAATATTTGCTACAGGACAAAGGACAGGTCTAGAAATTTTAGGTCTGTCCTAGGCGCCTGTCAATAGCAATGTGATCTGTAAAATCAGCTGACAGGCATCTGTGGGTACGCATACACACCAGCACAGCTGACGGGATTACACATTAGTTATGTACTTCAAGGGATGTTCACTCATCAAAGGATTTGGGATTTGTCTGCCTGTTTGGTTTAAACTAAACTGTCACCAATTGTTTTATATTTAACAGATTCATTTGTTCTTCAAAAAACAAAGAAAATTTGCAACCCCCAAAAATCCTCATTACATTTTTTCTCCATTTAGTAATTCAGACTACATCCATTTTTAAATTTTAAACACGCCACACTGTGGGGCGCCAGGCTGACTCAGTCAATGGAGCGTGTGACTCTTGATCTCAGGATTGTTGAGTTTGAGCCCCATGTTGGGTGTAGAGATTACTTAAAAAAAATAAAAATAAAAATACTGAAAAGTCCCCAAACATGCCACATCTTTATACTACTCTTTGTTTGATTAACTGGTTATGCTGTGTAAGCGTTTGAGGTGACCAAATATTGAAGAAAGGCCACAGTGTCACTGTGAAATCATCTTTAGTAAGTCTTGTAAATATTATGCATACTTTAGGCAGTATGGACATGGACTACATCTTAATATGCTCACTAAATAGCAAAGTGACAACTGCATATTTGAAACATGGACTTTTTCTCATGTTATTGAAATATCCAGAATAAAGATTCTGACCATCTTATCCTATTTGTTTTACTGCATTTTTAATGCTAATGAGAGTCACAAGCATTCTTTAGTCACAGAGTTCTATACTGCGGCATATTTTATTATCGACAAATATTCCATCCAAGTAAAACCAGTGGGATACTAAAAAAAAAAGTTCCAGCTTACAATTGAATGAAAACTCATGTCTCAACTGATTCTGTCTGGTTTTATTTGTACTAACCTTTGGCCCTGGCATTCCATTTTGTCCCACTGTTCCAGGCAACCCGGGCTCACCCTCATAATAAAAAATAGATACTATTAAATAAAATAGACAAAATCCATACATTATATAGATCAGTAGAGGATAGAGCTATCCAGTAGTGCTCTAGAAGTAGAGAGAGAGAAAAAAGTGACTACTAGTGTAAATACAAGTTGGCTCATTTGGTCCAAAATTCTATGTGCTCAGGACAAAGGATAAAACGGGTTAATTTCCTTCATTCAGTCTTGTCTCCATTAAGAAAGTTGAAGCAACTCACCAAAGGAAATGAATATCTAGCATGATGTTGGGTACCTTGTAGGCAATAAATAAGCATCTGTGGAATGAGTTAAAGATATCTAAAAACATAATCACTCCTGATGGAGAACTTTTAAGTGGTTCATCAGCTCAGAACATAAGGATGAAATCATTATGAGACAGTCTAAAGCTTAGTGCACACACACATCTTTGAACACCTACAAAATCAGACACATTTGACACAAGAGTGAAAAGTAAAAATGGCTTTGGTTTCTCTTCTCAATTTCACTGTAAAAAATAGAATAAAACATTTAGAACTGTGGCTCTCAAGGTCATATTGAGTGATAAGCATTTGGGAAAAAGATGGTTACTAGGTCAGAAAGGTTTCCCCTTTCAGAAAGAAAAGGTTGTAAGGGCACCTTGGTGGCTCAGTTGGCTGAGCATCTGACTTTAGCTCAGGTCATGATCTTGCAGTTTGTGAGTTCAAGCCCTGCATTGGATTCTTTCCCTCTCCCACTAGTGTACTCTCTTTCTCTCTCAAAATAAATAAATAAACTTAGAAAGTTTTTTTTTAATTAAAAAAAGAAAAAGAGGAGGTTTCACAGGCTCTGAATCAGCAATTGTTTGCTAAAGAGGACAAGTCCATAAAGTGCTCAGAAACAAAGGTAGGACACAGGCTCTCAATGCTTCTGTGTGGCTCAAAGTTAGATCAACTAGAATTTCATTTTCATTTAAAAACATTCCCAAAGCTCTTTACTGTGGGGTTCAATGACGGGATGGCTTTCTTCCTTCCACCAAAGGGAGTAAAGTTGTTCCTTAACTGATTTAAAAATAAAACACTATTTTTAGAGTAGTTTTAGGTTCACTGCAGACTTAGTTGATTTTTAAGTGAGTTTTCTTAGTCACCTGGAGGGCAGAGATTGTGCTATTTTTGTATTTGTGCTCTCAGCTTCACAAACATGTACATTAGTAATAATAGTACCATTTTTAAGTGCCAGGAACTTTACATTCATCAACTCACTTATTTTCACAAATTTCTATGAGGTAAGTACTACCTTTATCTCTATTTAGCAGATAAAGAAATTAGGGCACAGAGAGGTTAAGTAACTTCTAGATTTATACAGCTCCAGGCAAGATTTGAACTCTCATGATTTAGTTTAAGAGGTTGTGGTCTTAATACGATGCATTCCTGAATGAATGAAAGCATCTAGAAATTGGGAGCGAATACAAAGGAGTATTTCTATCCTCATTATTATCGGTTTATACTCCTCATTTTTATAAGTGACCTTACAGAATGTATAGAAACCTGACTTAAATTTAACTTTTATAAAGATGATTTGTGTACCAGCTAAACTAATAATATGAAGCCTACATTATCCTTCTAGAAAAGTAAAACGTATTACACTGGATTATTAAAATTGCTGAAGTCTTAACTTCCTGGAAGAACTTCTGCTTCATAAATAAAGTTACACTATAATTATAACTCTTGCACTCTCCTTGGATAAATGGCAAAAATGTTGACAGAAGAGCAATGGCCATTATAGGAAAATTTTGACTGGTCATTTTTACATCACAAAGACTAAGAACTTGGAAATAGAATACACCCTGAAAGAGGATTATCATTTACTATGCAACAGAAGATGAGTTATCAAGTCTGCTTTCTTCAAAGAATCGACAACAGGATGCACTAATATCATAACTCATGGTTTAATGCAAATAAGAGATGCTGCTAGGAAACAATATGAACTTTGTTTAGCCTTTCAAAGAATAACCATGGTAGCCAGAATAATCACAAAAAATAATAGTTAAGCCTCTGGAAGTGAACAAAACACATGCTGAGATTTTGAAGCAAGGAAGAGAGACGTTGCTTAGGTATCTGCTTAACATCCTCCTTAATATATGAACACTGAAGGACTAAAACTTTATCCCTTTTTAAAAATTTTATATATTGTTAAAATAATCTTTTAACATAATAGGAAACAAAAAATGCACCTATAATTCTATCACCCTGTAATAATTGTTTTCATTTTGTCCTGTTTCCTTGTTAGTCTTTTTTACTTATGCTTACGTATTTTCAAGCAATTGTAAGCTTATTACATAGTTTCATGTTCTGATTTTTTTAATTTGATACTACATACTTGTTTTCACATACTGTTCATGCTTGTCTTATGAATAGTTTATCATCGATCAAAGTCAGGTGTGATCATATGTTTGATCTGTCCCAAATAGTTGAAGACTTAGGTTGTTTTAAATTTTTCTATTAGAGATAAACTAAAACAAACACCTCTGTAAATATTTCTAAATTGCTTTTCTAAAGGATTCTGAGTTTTAGCTGCTTCTATCAGCCCCCACTTGTGTTACTTTTTCACATTTTCATCAGCACTGGATACCACAATTTTAATTCTTTTCAGGGCGATTTCCATAAGCACAAATGAGAGTTTACCGTTGCTCAGTTTTACATTTATCACTTGTAAGTTAAATATTTTGTCATGTGTTTATAATTTATAGATATCTCACAAAATTTTAAGGCTGACAGTGAATAAAGCTGCTTCCTGAATGAATTAAGGGAAGAAGGAAAAGTGACTCATAGCATTTTACCTTTCTAATAGGTTATATCAAGAAAAATACATTCAAACTTAGATTAAAAGGCTATGGAACATTCTGCTGCTATCCAAACTGAGTTCCCAGGTTGTGTGAAAGGAACGTTAAGGAAGAAGTGCTGTATAATTCTGACCACCAAGGCTGAGCTATGGGATTCTGGAAGCCATTAATTCACTCAATTAACATTTACTGAAAGCTTTCTCCCTGTTCTACTCTGGGCTAAGTGTTTCATGGGATATAAAGATGAAACCGACATGACAGGCACTTGTGCCCAAAGAGCTGACTTTTGAGTGGGAAAAAAAGATACCTACAAAAAATAACTTGAGGACATCTAATTAAGGTCATAGAACTTTTTTTTAAAGCAAAGTTTTCTTGCACTTCATGAAATAAAGAGACATAGATCAAAGTAAAGTGTTACAGAAGAATGATCCATATATCATGTAGTATATTAAGATTTTCTGGTGTGTGAGGACAAAATATTATCATGAGTCCTCTTCAAAAAATGTTACTATATTATAATACTACATAATGTAGTAAAAATGTAAATATGCAAAAAGTTTATAAAGCAGAGACCAAAATGTTAGAAATAGGTTTTGCTTGTGTGTAGAGTGTTAGTCTCCTTTTGTTGGAGAATATATGCATCTATTTTTTTGAAAAGTTTATTCATTTATTTTTGAGAGAGACAGAAAGTGCGTGTGTATGCACAAGTTCGGGAGGGGCAGAGAGAGAGGTGAGTCTGCAAATCCAAAGCAGACTCCAGGTTCTGAGCTGTCAGCATAGAGCTGGATGTGAGGCTCAAGCCCACAAACCGTGAGATCATGACCAGAGCTGAAGTCAGACACTCAACCGACTGAGCCACCTTGGCACCCCTGTATCCATTTCTGAATACATTTCACAAGTATTCCAAAGAGAATACAAAAAACAGAAGCTAACATCTTAACCTCAGATAGAATGCTAAGGTTTTCTCTATTATATTTTAAATTCTAAAGCTATTCCCAATTTATTACTCCCAAATGACAACATGAATATTTGAACTAAAAGTAAGTTGAGTCCAACTTTTACGAAAGTTTTACAAAACTTTTATGAAAGGTGGCTTCCTACTTTTTCTTTCTTTTTTCCTTTCTTCCCTCCCTCCTTCCTTCCCTCCTTCCCTCCTTCCCTCCCTCCTTCTTTCCTTCCGTCCCTCCTTCCTTCCTCTCTCTCACTCTCTCTCTCAAACCAATGCTCTTTAGAACCCTAATGTAAGACATCACTCAAGACTCCTACAATTATTTCAGGTCCTGCTAATTGAGGGCAAATTGAAGGAATACTGAAAGATAGAAAGGAATGCAATTGTCTTATGAGATTGAGCGCTAAAGGGAAGTAGGCTATTTAGTGATAATATTGCTTTCCTGATGGCGATTGCTTTTTATTCTGACAATGGGAATTTACAGTGAGTTGTAGTTTAAAATTTTCAGCATAATGTAATTTTACATTCACTTGTCAGAACTGATTTTGTTTAAGTACTGCATTTTCAAAAAGAACTCATCCAAACAGAAGAGGAAAATAACTACAAGGAATGCGGACCACTAATGGGTGGCAAGAATGATTCTGAGTAGAACATGGCATGTTGTTGTCTTTTTTTCTGAGATTTTTAGCTCTTCCTTAGGTTTATTTATTTTATTTATTTTTTAACTTTTTTATTTGAGTGCAGTCAACACACAACGTCACACTAATTTCAGATGTACAACATAGTCATTCAACTTATCTATAGGTCATGCTATCTCACCACAAGTGTAGCTACCATCTGTCACCATACAACAGTCACAGTCATATAATATCACTGACTATCCCCATGCTGTGAACATAGCATCAGTCTTAAGGCCATTCTCCTATTTCTGAGGTTGGGTGTGTTGGTGTACACAGGCAGTAAAATAAAGACTAATGGTCACTGATAACCCATCTGAAACACCAAAGTATACTAAACCTTTTTTCTGGACTATGACAATGCATAGAGAGATCTCCAAGCTTCAGGAGTGAGCAGAATAGACATTTAGTCCCCTTCTGCAGGCAGTCATGGTGGGGAGTGGCTGTCCCTTTATAAGGCTTTAGGGCCTCAATGTCTTTGGCAGCAGTTGGGTAAATAGCACTTGGTAGAGCAGGATTCTTTGAAAGTAGTGAGGCTCTCAACAGGGGCTTTT